GGGGCACAGAAGGTGGTAGCCTCTGGAGGAAGTGGGGCCTCGGGTTTCACGAAGGTGGTGGTGGTGGTGCTTGCGGTGTCAAGGGCATTACGGAAACTCTGGTTGTAGGATCGACTGCGCACAAAGTTACTCTCCGAGGACCGGACGGGGGAGACGTCTAAACAGATCAGAAGATGCAACAGTTGAGATGAGGGGGGCTGATCTTTGAATGGCAGTGGCAGAACAAGAAGTGGAAAACGAAAGGGGTGGTGTGTTAGGTGTGCGGCTGTAAAATCTCAATTATAGTTTTTTTCACTGCAAACTTGCATGAGGGAGAGTGCGAGTATACCCTCTCCTAAAAAGGCCAAAAAGAGAAGGTGCAGGTAGGACATGCAGGCAGGAATTTGAAAAAAAATATGTCCTTTTACTTTTGGGTAAAAATAATAGGGTTCCATGCGGGTAGGGGCATGGAAAAAAGATCGCCTACCTTAGGAGCAGTTAGAATTTTAACAAGAAGGCTTCTACTCAGAGGGGGTTAGGCTCTCAATCCTAAGCCGTAAGTCAGCCTGCATTTTAGGAAGGAAGCGCTTAACACGATGAATAGCTGAAAACATATGTTTGCCGAATTGATTTTTAAAATGCAACTGATTGGAACGCAAGAGGTAGCGCAAACATGATTCATCTTAGAGACACCAGATAATGAACAGGTGTGCCCTGAAGTGGCACCTTGCAGGTTAATGTGAAGGAATATAGTTACCAGGGTAGACGCCCTCCAGGTCAACCTAAACGAATGACCTTCAAAAAAACAGGCCTATACTCTTACAATTGGTGGGTCACTAAGACTGCTGGTCTGTCAAATCGAGCGCTTTTTTAGGAGGCTTGACGCGAGGGCTTAGTGAAGGGTAAATAAATGCGAATAAGAACAATAGGTTAGTCGGATGTAGGGTTAGGTAGATAAGTGAGACCTGTGAGGATGCAACTAAATACCAGATAGTAAACTATTGTCACTCGTTGGTGAACCTTCCTCTGACCGCTAATCATTGAACCAAGAGCTCGTTGTCTCGCCGGTGGCTCAGTGATTAGGGCGTTTGAATATAATCAAAAAGGTCGCGAGTTCGAGGCTCGGATGGGACACCATCTGGGTGCGGTAATGACTGGTTGACGACGGCTAATAAGCCAGAAATGGCCATCCCAGTCTCCCTTGTCCTTGCTGGCAATACTATCTGCCTACTAAAAATTAGTGTCAGTAAGTTATAGAGCTGCAGACGGGAAGTGTCAAAAATCTGTTAAAGAACGGTACCCGGGAAAGTTTTTTTCAGTTTTCACAAACGGTAATCGTTGAAACCTCAAAGGTAAAAACTACCAGCATGGAAAGAGTGGTGGCCTTATGCTTAAAACTGCAGTTAGCATAACAAATTGAAATTTCAAAAAATGTCTCTGGTAACGAAACACAATTAATGCTTAAAACTCAGAAAGTTTGCATGGATAATCGGTGACTACTTGAGGCAAACTCGAAGGATTTGATTCTATAGACAATTTCCAAGGACCTTTTTTTCATCTGAACCCCTACCTTCGACTGCCAATTCTGGTTTTGTAAATGGTCTATTCGTTGACAAAAATCGAGATGCCTTAGGAACTCCAGAAGAGCGAAATGCATACGATTACCAAGATTCCCTCGAGGAAAATCGAGGTACTAGTAGTTTTATCCCACAGATGCAGAAGACCGCAAGAGACCGTGCCTGAATAATAAGCATCCTCGCTTAAGGGTATGACGTACAGACATATTAGATTACATGATACAGTATATGCTCTCTCAAGGACTAGCAGTGACGAGAGTTCAGATCGTGGAAGCTCACGTAGGGGCACCTTAAGAGTTATACCACAAAGTACTGAAGAAATAAAATGAGTAAGTTCGAAATAGCTAGGGTTGCCGTTTGTAAAATAAATCAGTAAACCTCGGTAACAAGTAGTCATCACCTAGTCCTCTATTTGTTCGTCTTGAAGAAGCAAAGGATGGCATATACACTTAAATACTCTTCTCACTTTAAACAGCATGATATGAACTTGCGGTGTTCTTCTTTTTAATAGAGAGTCTACACTAACGGACACAAAAAGCCTAGTTTGGAGATAAATGTTTCATCTGAGAATTATATTTCCCGAATAAACTCGTACACACCTTTTTTCAGAAGTTCACATATTCTGAAGAGTTATCAAGGCGCATTCTGGAAGCCAACTGGATAAGATTTTTGAAAAAGAACTCAAAATGTTTCCTTTTCTGCCCAGAAGCACAGACGGATTCTTAATCGTTCGCCGGCAACTTTCGAAACTACACAGCTTGGACAATTTGTACCAGCTACTAGTAGATCCGAGCAAGACACCAGACTAAAGAGTTTGCCATAAGATGAAAGCACGCCTACTTCTTGAGCTTTCCTTCCGATGAGTGGTAGGAAAGAAAGACGAAAAAGCGGCACAGTTCGTAGAGTGATGGATAGCTCAACCCATGGACTAACTGGACATCAAATAAAACGGACCAATGGCTCTAGCTCACCACGCAAAAGCCTTTGATGTCTTACTCAAAAAATCTCCGCAAATCTGGAGAAATTGAGATAACGACTGCCATTGTTTTACGGCCGACCAAATGTTTACAACAAACTTCACAAAACCTGCGAAAATATTAATATTCACCGCTTAAACGTATATTTACTTCATAAAAAAGGCTCGAACGAGGCCACTGGCTACAGAGAATTACGTGGTGTATATAGATGAGCACAATTTAAATGCATTGGTTCAGAATGGACGGAGAAAATATGTAGGAACAAAAGCGAAGGCATCTAATTACCATCTCAGCGGTTTAACAATTTGTTAAACAGAACACTGAGAGCATGATTTTCAGTAAACTTTGCTGGCTCTCTTATAATACAATTGAGTTTTGGATGCCCTATTTAACAGGACGCTTGATGAAACAATTCACAGAAGTTAAAACATGGGCATTACAAAAGGTTCTACAGTTTTGTCCATCTAGGTCAGAGACGAAGCTTAGTCTGCTGTTTCACGAAGAGAACTATGAGAACATGTAGTTCCCATAAGCGTGAGAACCAACTCTTCCTCATACAAAAAAACCTGCGACAAAAACGACTTTTCGAAACAATCTCCAGAGTCAGACGTACCGACCACCGAAGATAATTAGCAAGATAGTATTGCCGGCAAAGACAAGGGCAACTAGAATGGCCATTTTCGGTATATTAGCTGTCGTCAGCCAGTCATACTCAACCCCGGCTGAGCAACCACCCTAGACTCAAACCTGCTATTTTTTTCAATCACAGTCACACACCTCCATGAACGTTCACCGATCGCTAAAGAAAATGGTTCGTCCAGCCCGAGAATGAAACCCAAGGCAGAGCAGGACGAGTGAGTTCCTTTAGCGATCGCTGAGCGTTCATCAAAGAGTGTCAATATCTCCCGATCTAAACAACGAGGTTGCGGCTCTATGTTTACAGCGTGAGACTCTGATCAGAAAGGTTATGAGTTCGAGCCTCGTGTGGTGCACCACTTGGGGTTGGTTATGACTGCATGACGACGACTAATAAGCCAGAAATGACCACTCCAGTCTTCCTTGTCTTTGTCGGCAATGCTATCAACCTCGACTAGTAGCCTAAGAAAGAGACTCAAGGTAGAGTGGGGCGACTGAGCCGTTAGCGATCGGTGAAAGTTTATCAACGAAGAATCTCTTATCTCTCATATTGCCAAACGAACTTCTACATCGAAACATAAAAGCTACTCTCGATCGCTCGTAGCCAGCCGCTAAGATAACACGGCCACACATACAAGTTCGATGAGGCCGAAATTCTCGCAAGAGGTGACAATCGAGTGAGCCGAGAATTAC